TTAGCTAAGCGAGACACTGGATCTTGGGAAGAAGGCAGAGATGGATTTAGGGGAGCATGACCAGTTCAGCCGCACTGAGTGTGGAGCCTCAGGGGCACCGCAGAGGGATCTGCAACCATTATGTAGAATGGGAGAAGAAAGATGGGGGGCACCAAATTTGGGTGTCACACAGGGCACTGCTGAAATTTGAGATCCCAAGGTCTGCCACTGCTGGAAGGGTCCTGAAGCCCTCTCACCTCCTTCCTGAAGCTAGCAAACTGCTAATAAGGGTTTGAGAAGGGGATAGATGGGCTCTAGGATAAGGTTACCAGATTTTTTCAATGAATTCAGGGACACTTTTTAACTTCAATGGACTTTGTACGGGGACTACCTTGTAAATCTGGGGACTGTCCCCGGGAAACGGGGACGTCTGGTAACCTTATTCTAGGACCCTGTCAGAGCCATCACTTCCCTTTCCCAAAGCCCAGTCTCACTTACCCCACTTTGGGAAGGCAGTGTGAGGGCTGCCAAAAAAGGCATGGAGGGCCGCATATGACCCTCAGGCTCCATGTTGGACCACCCAGTTCTAGAGAAAACTAAGAGCAGTAACCACAAAAACAACTCAGTGGTTAAGCACCTGCTTTGCATGCAGAAGGTCCCTAGTTAAATCCCTAGCACCCCCAGTTCAAAAAGATTCAGGCAGCAGATGGTTGTAAAAAGCCTTTCCCAGAGACCCTGGAGTGTCACTGCATGTCTAGGTATACAACAATTGGCTGGATGGGCAGAGAGTCTCACTTAAGGCAGCTTCTTACATCCCCCTGCCCCAGTTTTTTCAAAGGAAGCTGTTATGGTTCCAAGGGGTTGCTCGAGAGGAAGCAGGCAAATGCCTCCCTGCTCGCTGTGAAGCCTTGCTTTTGATGCCAAAATAAACTTTATCTGTCCAGAGCGCCACTCTCCCGTGACTGGCTCATTCGCTGGCAGAATCCGTGAGTGGGCGGTCCTTAAACCTTCCCCAGCAAAGTAATTTCTTGACGCCCAGTCTGCACCTCCCCTCTCAGCGCGAAAGCTTACTGCGCAAGGAGGGCGTGGGTAACGGAGGACCTCTCTCCTCCCCGCTTTGCCCAGGCAAGGTGTCCTGGCACCGCCTCGCCTCTGCAGCTCCTCTCCACTGGAGGAGTGGTTACTCTCCTCCGCTGAGGAGGAGCTGCTTCCCAAGATCTTTGGGGGCTCTCTGTAATCCATCCGGCTTTTCCCCTCTCCCCCCTGAGCCGATGGCAGTTCCCTGACAGAAGCTTACAGTGTGGAGACTATTAACTTACAAAATCCGAAACAGTCTGGAACCAGAGTATCCAAAGAATCTCTTGCCCAACCAGTGACCATAGCCTTTTCCTTAGATGCTCCCACCTTCAAAGTTTAGGTGGGCAGCTACTAAAAATAGGGTTCTCCAGTTATAGCATCCCAGATATAGAATCCCCTTCCCAAACACATTTGGCTGATGCTATCATTATCTTTTAGGCACCATGCTAAGTGTGTCCTGTTCACTCAAGCCTGTAACAGCAATCAATTTGCCCTTCACTGCTGTTGGATGTTAAACTACGATTTTATATTTTTAATGGTTGTAAGCCACCTTGAAGGTCTATATGGTGAAAAGGCAGGATATAAATGTTTTAAAAATAAATAGCCTATACTAGTTAACTATAATTATGACAGAGGAATCCGGAGTAAAAAGGTGTGTGTTCAGATAAGTACTTGCATACACATTTGAAGTATTTGGTTTCATAACAAATGGCCTCAGTCCAGGAGAGAAGGGCTGACTGGCAAAAGGAGCAGAATAATCAAAATAGCTTCTCTTCTGTTCTCAGCGTCAGAAGTATCCCTATGCTGTGAGGGGAGCTGCTGGAGTTGCTATTTTTAAAAAATTACTTCGGTAGCACCAGTGCACATTTGATGAGGATCTGGTGGATAAAAGGGAAAATTAGGTCCATAAAATCAATAACAGAAGGTCCGCATTGGGGAAGTCTTCCTGGGCCTTGTTTGACCTTGTTGCCACTGTTACATCTTCCGTTTGAGAGATGGAACTGAGCTTACTGCGAGCACTGATGAGAAGTGGAATCTGCACTGTGGTTTAAGGCAGTCCCTCCTCTTGTACTGTTCCAATTAAACATGCTTCACTTTCAGAGAACGTCATGGGGATATCTCGCCTGTGCGGTCTGGTGTTCTGGAGTGGGGGATTGGTCCCAGATCTGAATTGATTTATTTTCCTTTCCAATGTCAGCCTTTGAGAATTCTAGTCAATATGTTTGAGAAGAGCCTGCCTTGCTCTTGCACATCTCACTACGATGGTGCTAGTTATGCCCAATAAGCTTCTTAGAAAATTATATCCCATCCAAGCACCAGTGCGCCAGATACTACAGCTACTTGAGGGGAAAATTAAAATCACAGAATTGTAGAGTCAGAAGGGACCGAAAGGGTCATATAATCCAAACCCCTGCAATGCAGGAATTATGAACCCCAAACTCAAAAGCAACTGGTGTCCTATGTTAAGATATCTGAATCTAACACAAGTTGCTTAGGTGTCTCTGAAAAGTGAAAATTCCAGACATTTATTAATCATTAGCTGAATATCTGGGGCAAAGAGTAGTTATAACGGTATTCATAAGAATTAGCACTTATTTTGAAAAAAATATTACCCAGTATTTACCAACAGAGCTGTACATTTATAATTTGTACCGTATCTGGCTGGTTGTGCCAAAACAAATTTGCTTTTCACAAACTTCTAAGACATAAATTTGACAAAGCATTTCTGAAGAGCTGCTAACAGGTGCCATCCTTCAAGCACTAGCAGTTCTAAAGATGTCTATCAAAATTTAGATGGCAATGTCATTTTTAAAGATAATTTGAATAGTTCAAAATGCTGGGACTATAACATATTATAGCAGCTGTAAGAACCACATTTGATTTCAGTATTAAAACTCTGTTTGCTTCTTAAATGCATAGATTCTGCTTCATCAACTAAAAAAGCCACACATATCTGAAACGAATCGCAGTTAACAACCAGACAAAATCATAACCAAGAGTTCTGGCTGCAAGCAGCACACCACACTGCCAACTTAAACCAAACTGAAAATACTTGCCCAGCAGTCATTTCTCACAGTGGGCTTTGTAAGTCCACAAGTGGACATAAACACAATAGCTCGCTCCTGCTTGTGATCCTCAGCAACTGATATTCAGAGGCACAGTGCCACCAACACTGGGTAAAATAACCATCATGACTAGTAGACATTGACAGCCTAATCCTCCATGAATTTATTAGTAAAGAAACACATTATTGTTTGGGTTGTTCTTTGTCAGACTAAAACTGGCACAGGCTACAGTAGAACTTTCACCAGAACAGAATACGGGGATTAAAATAATATTCAGGGGTTAAAAAGGAGCTTGAACACATACAAGTGAAAGCTGCCTCAAACTTATTGTATTTACATCCCACACCTTCAGCAAATTTATACAGTCGTACCTTGGTTTTCAAACAGAGTGAGTTCCAGAAGTCCATTTGACTTCCGAAACATTCAGAAACGAAGGCACAGCTTCCGATTGGCTGCAGAAGCATCCTGCAGCCAATCAGAAGCTGCGCGGGACGTTCAGCTTCCAAGGCAAAGTTCACAAACTGGAACACCTACTTCTAGGTTTCCGACGTTCGAGTTCCAAGTTGTTTGTGAACTAAGCTGTTTGAAAACCAAAATACGACTGTACTCCCTGGGAGGATAAGAATAAAAGTGCAACAGAAATAAATAAGAAAATAAAGTATACAAACCAACATGAACTAAAACAGCAACAAATGGTTAAACTAAGCGCTAAAATAAAACTGCTCCAAGTTAAAATGAGCTGACATTAGCGGTCCTTAAAAGCATGGGGAAACAGAAGTGATTTTGCTTGGTGCCTAAATTATGAGAGAATGCCAGTTGGATCTCCATGAAGAGGGCATTGCAAAAGCAACCATGTTCATTGCAGCTACTTAAATTCTCCCCCTAGCAAGCATATGGTGTGAATGACAGGTGCTGTTTCTAAACAATGCAGATGGGCCAAGGACCCATGGCCAAATGGGATTCCTTGGCAAGCATACCCTACATCTTTAGAAACATGCGCCTGCCATTCCACTTTGTGGTTTCCTATAGGAAATACATAAAGCAACCCTTGAAGGCATTCTACAAGAAGAATGGTGTAGGGATGCAAAACAACTACAGTTTTGAAATAATATGTCTCTGGAAACAAAACAAAAAGTAATGAAGTATTCCAATATGCATTCTTCAGGCCTCGCTGCAGCTCACCATTTTGTCAGTCAACAACAAAATTCACACAATATGCTGCAGAAGAGGACAACACTATCGTGCATTCCTTAAAAGGTGATATATCACCTTTTATTAGAGTGAACTAAATCATCACAAAGCAGCCAATAAGCTTTCCAGTTCTTTCCCCCATGTTCCTTCAAAACTGTCTTCTGGAGAAGACAAGAGGGATATTTCAAGGCATTAATATCTAGTTTTAAGAGTGCTGTAGAACTCTAAAAGCTTCCAATTTTGTGACTTTTAGTTGGTCTTAATGAAGTGTTTTATACCACTGTCGTTTGGGGATATTTTTAATGGCTACTCTATATTCTGTAGGAGTAATTTACCAAATATCTTTGTAGCTCTTCTACATGGGGTTTCACCTTGTATTTTTATACTGCCAACAGCAGCCTGGACAAGAAACAACTGAAGTAAAATCCTGGCTCCATCAGTATCAGAACAAGCAAATATAAAAAGGAATGATATAAGCACAAGGATAGCTGTAGAGGAAGATTCTATTTTAGAAAATTACAAACATATGGAAGTCTATTCCATCACCACATGAGATCTGCACTTGCATGAAGAATCAGTTCACCGTTCTCTATTTGTAGTACAAAACAAATAACCATTATCCTGAAGCTGCAAGTAAAAAACACACTGGGAAGGAAAAGGGGGAGGAAAATGCACAAGGTATCCTACCTTTTATTTATAGGTTTCTCATCTTTCTCGTAAGGCTTCACAAACCATTTCCCGATGCGCACAAAGTTCCGGTTCATTAGACATCTTTCCACCAGGTTGTGAATTGCTTTGAATAGCAGAGTGCGACATTCGTAGGAAAGCCCATTCTCCCATACACCGTCTTCCTCATCTGCAAGCATGGGAGGGGGAAAAAAGTTAACAGCCAGCTTTCAGTGGAGGTGCAAAGAAAAAGAACGCCACCAACAATAACAGCAATAACATTAGTGCTGACTAAAAGGTCACTTCATACATTACATTTAAGAGTACCCCATAGGCTTCTTCAACATAAACATATTGAGGAGTCTTACAGAAAGACAGAAAATGGCCCATCAAGCCAAATACAGGCCACCCAATTAGGAGCGCTCTGTTGTCTCAGACAGAGACCTCATGCTGCTCTTAAAAGACCTTTCTATTTAACCACAGATGCCAGGGACAGGACCTGGGATTTTCTGCACGCCAGTCATTTGCTTTGTCAACGAACTGTTAGAGCGCTCCTGCTGTCGAAGTTTAGTATGCATTATCTTTGGGGAAAGGACATGTCTTCTTAATTTTTATTATTACAGGCACCATCTAGCCCAAGCTGGGTACTTTGGTTTTAATGGAACATGTGTGACACTCCCATCAAACTCAACCAGAGGCTTAGACGTATTTGCCACACACAGGCTCAGGCCCCATATAAACTAAACAAGTGGGTCCTGTCACTCTAGAACATGACTGTGATGTTCCAGGAATCCCTAAAAAAGGCCTGGCCCCGGTAGTCACTAGGTCACTTCCTCAGATACTCCACTGAAGCCTGACTTCCCTTAAAATACCTGCTTCTGGTAGCTACTTACTTAAGAGGAACAAAGCTCTCTTCATATATTCATTCACACAAGGTAGGTAGGAGCGGGGGGTGGAAAATTAACTCTTAGAATCTACCCAGATCAGAACACAGGCAGTTGAAACATTAACCCACATTTAATTAAGGAACATTACATGAAGAACAAGAAGCCATTTCACACTTCTTCTTCTTCCTATTATTATTATTATTATTATTATTATTATTATTATTATTAAATTTATTTTTATTATCATCCCGTCCATCTGGCTGAGTTTCCCCAGCCACTCTGGGCGTCTTACAAAGAGTTCTATCCTAACACCCCTTAATAAATATGCAAACTATTTTACATATGTTTTTATTATCCTGCTCATCTAATTCGTTCTTTCTTTCCATCCTTTCAACCACTCTCTTCTTCAGTGATAATTTCCAACACTCACTTCCTCACATTCTACTCCACTCCCCTATTGACAATCATTCTATTCCATTCACTCTTCTGCCACAATGACCAAGAAATACAAATGGGGGACAGCACATCCTTGCCATAACACTTCCAATAATGCCCGTTTGGCTTTCTTTCATAGGAATGAATGGTTGCTATACACTCTTATGAGTAAAAGTACTGCCCTTGGGAATAGTTTTGAGGTGAGGTCACAACCTAACACACCCTGACTTGATCCTCACTGAACTGACTGCACTGTTGCAGCAGGAGTTGTGCTCCCCCCACCCACTCCAACAGTCCATCTGATATGCGAGCTCCTTCCACTCCCAATAATTTACAGTAATAAAGAAGATGACTAGACAGAATGTGGTTCTGACCCAGTTAAGCCTACAAGTCTGTATCCAGAAACACATAAATGTCAGCCTTGGGGAGAAAAACTACTGGGCTGGGGAACAGTGGTGAGGAGAGGTCACAACCTGACCCACCTCAACACCAAGCAACTCAGGAATTGCAGGAATTATAGAGAATTGTAGGGCATGACACACAAGCATGGTGAACCTTTGCTACAGCCAGAAATACAAATGAGATAGGCATCAAAACACTAGAGGTTTGAGAGTTGTCGTTTGTCATTATTGTCCAGTTCATTCCAATATACCTACACAAACTCAGCTTTCACCAAGAGTAGACAATGACATCAGCTGAAGTCTCTGTAATGTTTGCACTTGTCCACTCAGACAACAGGGAAGAAGTGTCTGTCCTAAGGTTTCCAGGAGTACAGGTGCCCACATCTACATTTAGGAGCAAATGGCATGGACTTTCTAGAATCTCTAGACAGAGGCAAAACTTGCATTTCCCCAGAACACATAATGCCAATTTTGAATCCATTTGATGTATTCCCCAGACCAAAAAAAAAAAAAGTTTAACCTGACAGAAACTTTCACAATGTGTTTTTATCATGCACATCAGATATTGTTTCCATGTTAACAGACTTCTTTCAGTCAGTTTGCAGCACTACAGTTCAATGACTTGTTCCTTTTCCCAGGCAAGAGTATGTACCACATAACCACTTTAAAAAGGTGGCTGGCTGCCATCTGAAGAATTTTGAGCTCAATGTCTATTACATGAATTTACCAGCACCAACTTTAGAAGGCAGATGTCTGGCTGAAAAGGCAAACGATAAGTCAATCAGGATTTCTTTCTACCCATTTTATTGCCTCCAGGTTGAATAACAAAGGTCACTAAAGACAGTGCTTGTTTAATCAGTTTCCAAAAAAGGGTCTTGCACTTCTTTGGGAAAAGATACTGAAGCTTCAAATTTTTCTATCCATGTTGATCAACACTTAGATGTACCAAGGAGTGGGTTGAACTTGGCAACACTGATAAGTACTACCAGAATCCAATAATGAAGCCTGTCAGACTTATATGGGGGTAAGCTCACATGAGGTTATTAAGAGAGCACGGATCATCATACGAACACCTAAACACACACTCACAAAAAATGTCAGCCAGTTTTCGAAAGGCTTCTTCAGAATAAAATCCTGATTCATCACTCAGTCCCATGCAGGGTTGCATGCCCCAATCCAGAAGGTGAACAGAAAAGAATACAGGGAGGCAGCTCCTGGGGATCAATAATGGAAGAGGTATACTGCCTTCAAGCCTTACTAATGAGAATCTGTTCACCACTACAAAGTCACAAGATGTTGGACTAGATAGGCTAGAGGTGGGGAACCTCAGGCCCAGGAACCAAATGCAGCCCTCCAGGTCTTTCTTGCTCTCCGGATTCTTCCTCGATCATGCCTCCTCTCCAGCCCACACCCCTCAGCAGCCATGCTCTGCAACTTTTTTGAGTGCTTTTGCTTGACTGGAATGTGTTTTTAAATTATGATAATGCCTCTTCCTTGCCTGGATGGAAAATGAAGCAGAATGTGGGTGTGGCTGGAATGTAGCCTACAGTACAAAGGAAAGAGTCATATCCATTGCTCCACCCACTTTTGCCTCTGGTCCTGTCAACTACTGCTATGTGGCCCTCGGGCTGAAAAAGGGTTCCCATCCCTGACACATGACTATCGGTCTGACCCAACAGAGCTCTTCTTGCACAAGATTCTGCTTTCATATAATTTTCAATGCAGGTTGTACAGCCCAGTCCATTTTTATAATAGGGCTACTCCTGACTTGTCTCTGTTCTGACTCACGTTTTAAATATGTTCAGGAAGTGACCACAAAGAGCTAAAGTGGTGTGCCTCTGTAGCATCATTAAGGCTCAAATAATAAAGGCATGCAAACCAACAGATACTGTGTCCTAGGATTTTTGCAGCTACAGTGGTTCCATTTGATTATGGGGCAGTACTATAAACCAGACAACAAACAAAAAAAAACCCCATGAACTCACAAAGCCCAATTATAATACAGGCTTAACTTTCCAAGGATGAAAGAGATGTACAATATGGGCAGGATCCCTGGAGATGTTCCTCCTGTCTTAACTGTTTGTTTTCCATTGATACTTTAGACACCTGTTTTGTCTTCTTCCTTCAAGAACAGCTGCAAATGATTCAAAGATCCACAACAATGCCTTAAAACTTATCACAGTAGACCTCTAAGACAACCTCAGCCATAGGGCATCAAGGGGCCATTTGACCATTCAGCATTCAGGGTCAAAGACCCTTGTGCAGATTCTCCATAGCTCCAAATGTGAGGACAAATACCCCAGTGATGCAAAACACCAAACAGCACACAGATGCTCCTTCTCCAAAAAAGAAAGAAAGCAGAAAACAAAATGAGATCCTCATCTCATATTAAACTTCAGAGCAGGCACAGGTTCTGCTTTTTTTGAACAGAGGAACAGAGTCTACTTTCTGTACTGCTGAGTTCTGCAGCAGGCCAAAGAAGAAGAGAACTAAGCTAACACTGCCTATTCTGGAGCTCAACATCTCTCTCTCTCACACACACACACACACTCACACACACTCACAGGTCATCTGGCATCTTCAGAGTCAGAGTCAACAGAGATAACAAATAATGTATGGCTTCTGTGCCAAACAAGAGATTTGTTGTCAAGGGAGACTCTGCATTCAAGTAAAAGGTAAAATCACATATTCACTTCTTACACACAGCCAGGAAGTTTGAACTGCAGACTTCTCACTGCATGGAGAGATAAAGCAGAACTAGCACCCCCCAAAAAAAACAAACCATAAAAGGAATGCATGAGATTAACAGCGAAATTTGTAACGATCCAAAACACAAGTTGGATTAAGGGATCAATTCTACGTAAACATATTTAGCAGAAAGTAAATTGCATTGAACTCAGCAGGAGATGCTTCCTATTTAGAATTCATGTTTAGAATGTGGACTTGAGCAATTCAAGTGGACTTACTAGGCAAGCCACTCCCTGGTGATAATTGCAACCTACCAAGCAGGGACATCACAGGGATAAACATGATTGTGACACCACAAGTTTAAAATGTGTCAACCTGAAATCATGAAACCATATCCTGGAGTACTAAATCATTAATCCAGTTGCTGTCTTTGACCACCATTCACGCTAAAAAGGGTTCAGTTAGTCTTCAAGAGAAAGGTGTCCTTCATGAGAAAGCAGTGCAGTCAGCCCTACATAAGCTCTTTATTTGCCCTAACTAGCTGTCCATAGGAACATGCTTTTCAGCAAACCACTGCACAACTATAATTATCTGGAGGACACAAGCAAAACTTGATGCTTTCTGTGGGGGTCTATTCAGCCCCTGATGAGTACACAGCTCTCTATAATAACGGAGAGCAACATACACAAAGGGAACACAAACTCCTCGCCATTAAAGAATCAGGAGACAGACTCAAAACGTAACTACAAGATAATGATCAGATGGAAGAAGTACCCATC